ACACATAGTTCCGGGCTGCTTCGATCACCTCTTCACTGGCTCCTCTTGTCGCAAGCAACTCGGCCAGTTCGGTAGGTCCAGGATGTCCAAGGTTGCGATGTAGTCGTTGAACAGTTCTGATGGCATCCTGTCTGACTGTGGTGCGAAGGCGGATCAGATTGCCCGTCGCGATCTTCTGCTCTGCAGTCATGAAGCCCGTCTCCCAAGCCTGTGGGGCTTCTTCAACAGCCATAGCACCTGCCAAGGTAGTCGCAAGTGCCGGTTGGTACTCCTCCAAGTACTTGGTGCGAGATCCGAATCCAATGGCATGGCCTTCTAGGGCACAGTGCTGATGATCTCCTCGACATTGAAGCGTCATGACATCTTGGAGGGCCTGCTTGGTGGTGAGCAATGAGGTGCTCTTCTTGACAGGTCTCCATTGTCCATCAGTGTCCATGCAGGCTGCTCCATATCGACATTGATCGAAATCAGCTCGACGTCCCGGGAGATCTCTCAAAGCACGAGTGCGCCAGGAGAGCGCGTGCTTGGGCTGTTCAATGTGACCATGACGGCCATTGTGCACTTGACCAAGATAGGCTCTTCGAACAAACATCAAGTGACGGTCATGATGATGTTGTCGAGCAGCACGAAGGGCTTCCTGTTGAGCTGGAGTTCGTCTTCCAAGGGATTGCATCTTGCTCCAAAGCTTGCACTCAGGTGCCAGGAGGACTTCGTCAGGACATTCTTCATCTTGTAGTTCCAGGAAGGCGCTCTGGTGGTCCAACCTGTTGAAGTCCCAGCCGGTCTCATAAGAAAACTGTCGAACCTCCATGCCAAGACTCTCCGCCACTTGGGAGGTGCGCGAAGTGCCACAGTACACCTCCCACAACTTCCGTTGAGGTTCTGCTGGATGAAGTTGCTTGGTGACATATGCCGTGAGCTCACTCAGATGAGTGTTCAGGTGGATGTCCATAGTCCTGAGGTCATGGCGCCGAAGTGCCTTGGTATGGGCTTGATGTTGATCTGCTTCAGGCTCAGTGACGGCGAAACCAGCTTCTTCCTTCTCGAACTCTGCCAGTGGGACGTCCTCCTCCTGGTCCAGATCAGCTTCGGCGGTCTTGAGGCAGTACTCGGGTTGCTCCGGGTCATATTCAACGAGGGAGTGCTCATCAGTGAGTGACAGAAGGTACTCACCTTGCCGACCGAGCGTGGCCTGTCGCCAGCCACCAGATCCAAGGCGAACCCTGCGAAATGCAAAGTCCATCGTCATACCCATGGCTTCAATGATGGGGCGTCCACATAGCGTTGGTGTATGACCTGGCAGCAGGAACAGCTGTACGGTGCCATATCGGCCGTCCAGGAACACTGGCACATGTGCACTCCAAGTCGACCAGGAAGCTGCATCTCCGCCGAATTGGAAGCGGCGTCTGCCACGAATCATCTTGATCTTGTCGATCGGGAACTGACAGTCATCCTTCAGGTGTTGCAGGAAGCGACGAAAAGGGCCATAGCCTGACAGGAAGGCACTCGCACCGGGATCCAACATGACACAGTCAGGGCGTTGATGTCCATTGTGATCCTCAAAGATGATCATGCCCTGCTCCTTCTCCAGAACCTGCGCCATACCCTCAGTGGGGGCCGGGCGCTTGAGACCAGTGCCCTTTGTGGCGCTTTGGGGACAGTTGGCTGCCCAATGACCCTGCTGTCCGCACCTGAGGCAAGTCATATTGGCCTTAGCTCTGCCCTTGGGATCGCTTTTGCCAGCACCTTGCGGTGGGTATCGGATGGTGGCACTTGATTTTCCTTTTCCTTTTGTTTTGCCGCCCTTGCCCTTTCCTTTCTTCTGCCAGTGCGAAGGGCTCGAGGAGGATGAAGAGTTGGCCATGACAGGCTGCTGGTTGTTGTCCGTGAGGGCGACCACTGGCAAGAAACCTCGAGCCATCTTCAACTCGTTGAACCTGCGCCTGGCATCGGTGGAGGAGGCAAACGCAGTGTCGTACTCATCAGCAAGGCGTTCTGGGCTGCCAGTCTCATTAGGTTCCTCTGGCCAGGGGTCTTCACCATAGTAGGCAGCGTCGGCGTCAAACTCCTCCTCCTCGTGGTCATAGTCATAGTCTACCACCTGTTCATCGCCTTTATAGTAGTCGGTTTCATCGTTCCACCCTGAGTCTTCATCTTCCCACCAGTCATCTTGTGCAGCATAGGCCCGACTGCTATTGCCCCACCTCTGGAAGCGCTTGTTGCGATCATGATTCCAGCCTTGTAGTCTTGGCCGAACAGGAGATAGAGGGCTTCGATGATCGCGGCTTTCTCCAACGTGGGTGCTTTCAGCGTGACCAGGTGTCGTTGTTCCTTCGTCAAGGCGGCTCGACGCAGCAAATGCCACCCTTGAACGGATTCAGGAAGGGATACTTTATGTTGTAGGAGTTTCCTGTAGGCCTCCTCATGATCGTTGACATAGGTCAGGAGTGTTTGACCTGGAGCACGTTGGAGGAGGTTGAAGTAGCCTTCGAAATCCGAAGGAAGCTGGACTCGTTGGTCGTACGAGAAGTTGCCGTCCAGTATCTTCAACATGGTCTCGAAGGCATCGTCCTTGTCGAAGTGGTTTAAAGGCCAATCTTCGAACAAACGCCAGACCATCCCCTTGAAGCTCCCAACGATGTTAAGGACCCCCTCACTTGCCTTCTTTGCCAGCGTCATCTTCCGGTAGTAGAGCTGCACTCGCTGGCGCCATTCACGATAGTCAGAAGGCTGACCGCTGAACAGTGGTATATAGCTGTCACGGACATCAGTGTAGGAGGTGTCCTCGGTCGAGCTGGTTCCGGAGCCGTAGGCCTTCCCCTTCTATTGACCTTTCTTTTAAGACATCGATAAGGGCACAGAACACGATGTAGCTCCTCCAAGGGTGTTATTCAAAGAGGTCGGATGCGAGGAGCGAAGCAAACTCGGCAAAGGGTAAGTGAACGCTCAGCTCGTTCAAGCGAAGTCCGCAGCTACCAATGTCAAAACAGAGGTAGTGTCCGAAGAACTACGCGTAAGGTGAATAAACACGAGGATCAAATACAAGCGAATTGAGTGGTCAACCGAATGAACACGAGGATCAAACACAAGCGAATTGAGTGGTCAATCGAATGACCGCGACCGCGCGCCGTTTTCAGCATTTCAAGCCCGCCCTGCGGTGCGAGCATGTCCACCTAGTTCGACGGCGTCCGAACTCACATCGTCCTTTAACGAAAAAAATATCGATTCCAAATTATAGTATTATTAATTTAAAGAATATTCTAAATCATAATAATATATAATTATTTAAAACCAAAATATCAATATAATTAGTTAATTAAATGATTCATTTAAGAATAGGTTATATTAATTCAATTTATAAATTCTATTCCAAATATTTTTAAACAATATAATAATCATATAAAATCATCCATTTTTTTTTAAATATATCCTATTCTAAAAATTATATATAAATAAAATATTTCATCAATCACAATTATAATCTCAATAACAATAAATTTTATAACCATCATTTTGATCTACTTAAATAAGAAAATACGAAAGATAAAAACGGACCGAATAATTATCGGGACCTTTTCTAATAAGAAATTATGTCCAATATTGCAAACATATTTTCCTTAGTTAAGCATAAATAAATCCAATAAAAACAAAAAACACCGTTACGATTAAATTACATCATCCTACGAATCGAAAATTTTCTCGACAAAATTTTACAAAGAAATTATATTAAATCGATATTCATTAATATCGAATAATATAATTTATAAACGCAATACGCGCTATATCAAGCTACTAGACACGCACGCACAACATCGAAATCGCATTAAACAACCTCATTATGCAAGATTCGTAATATATTATATAACCTCATAGCCAACGTCATATTTTCACCTTATTCCCCTTTTAATAAAACGATGTAATAGCAAAAACAAAAAAAATATATAAAAATACAAATAAAACAAAAATACTAAATATTAATATATTAATTTTTAGTTCCGAACAAATTTTCAAACCAATTCCTTTCCTTTCCTTCGTAAAATAAATTCAAGATAATCCTTACCAAATTACCTTTCGTATTTTACCTATCGCATACTACTATACTCCCCATTAATCCACTAATTATTAAATAGAACAAAATATAAATAAAAAAATAACTATTTAATTAATTTCAAAAACAAAATTTCCATAATATAAATATCCTTTTATTTATATTATACAAAATATAATCCATCTATCAATATTTATATATATAATAAATAAACAATTTCAACACATTCTATTAAAACAAATACGCACAATTATAGATATATTTTGGTACATTTACTATACGAAAATAACTACATAGATAAATACAAATTTTGATATTCGGATCTCGGGAAGACACAATTTTGAAAAAAAGATTCATCGAGATCGAACACAATATTGCTCAATTTGTTGGATGAATCAGATTTCGGGATTTCCAACATGTTCGATCATTTGAGATCTTGTATTTCAATTTATCATGGGGAGCCTTGCAAAACGTCCATAGGTCTTTGACTTTTCGATTGTTCTGGAATCCGCCCAACTTGCAGCATACAGCGCTCAACAAACAGTACAAAAGCAACGACCTTTGATGGAGCCAAGCTATCCAAGCAAGATGTCCCTTATTAGTGGTTGATGTGTCATGATGTGACTCAAATGGCCTTCTTGAACCCGTGCTTAAGCATTCTGTAGACTAGTTTTACATTTAAATATATATATATATAGATAATATGTTTTATATTAGAAATGGATCCTTTCAATGCGCCTGTCTGCATCGAATCGAAATGTCAAGGAATTCAAAGATTCTGTAGTGATTACATGATCTAACTACATCATACAAGTGAGGCGGAGGGTCTTTTTGGATCGTCCGATATCAATAAATACGCCACATGCATGCGCTGCAGTGCTGGAGACTCCCTCCTCTTTGGGCTTTTAGCGGGGCTCAGACTGCAACCAGTTTCTGCCTGGTCAACAATCAATCAATCTATCAATCCCATCTCAACCCGCTGCTTCCAACTACGCAAGTTGCGCAAAGGCAGCACCAGCAAGGCTCCCGAACCTGCTGCAAAGGTCAGGAGACTGAAGTAGTATGGCCAACCCAAAGCCTGCACCACTCGTGCCAGTGGGAAGCCCGACAGGGCGGCTCCAAAGTATCCCACCCAACCGATAAAGCCTGTAGCTGTAGTGCTCCATGCTTTCGGTGCGGATTCATTTGCCACCAGGGGCAGAAGCAATTGTGCACCGCTCAGGAAGTGGCCCAAGCCCAGCAAGAGGATATACTGCAGCCATGGCCAGTTGGGACACTGTCGTAGTGCAGGGACCAGCAAAAGGGTCGCGAGGAAGTAGATGCAAACCACCTTGGCTCTCTGACCTACATCCCCTGCACCTGGGCGTGCACGTCGTAGCAAAAGATCTGAGAGGCTTCCTGCTGTGAGATTTCCCACGAAGCCGCCCAACTCGAACCCTGAGAAAAGGGCAGCTGCCTTGGCAGGGCTCAGGCCTCCAGTTTGCATGAGGTAGAAGATGCCCCATACACTCAGCCCCTGCCGGCACCTTAGATCTTCACTTAGATCAGAATAAATGATTCATGTGCAAATTGCTTGGATGAGTTGGCATGCAGAATGGACCGAAGGGACTTGAAAGCCTGACAAACGACCTATCTTGAGTTTGCATATCACTCCGCAAACTCAAACTTGTGAATCTGAGCCCTCCACACATAAACCAGCATGTAGGCAAGGCCAAGCGCCCACTGCACTGGATTGAGGAGGATGCCCTCCATGAGACTTACTTCGGGTTCTGTCTTTACAACTTCTTTCTTGGCACTAGTGCCACTCGTTGCTTTCGGCCCATCACTCATTGCTAAGTAACAAAGCGCCACTGTGAGCAAACCGAGGAATCCGGGTCCCAGCATGCCGTAACGCCATCCGTAGGTGCCGGCCAAACCTCCGGCGAAGAAAGGGCAAAGGAACCCTCCAAGGTTGATCGAGGCATGCCAAACCGACCACCAAAAGCCCCGCTCTTTCGGATCAAACCAATTGGTGATCATCTTGACACATGGAGGAGCTGCTAGACCCTGAAAGCAGCCATTCAGAAGCCAAAAGAAGGCAAACTGAGGAAGCGTTGAGCTCATGCCGAAGGCGATGTTCAGCAAGCTACACACACAAAGACCCAACGCGAACACCCGCTTGGGACTCAGCAAATCGCCGAGCAGCCCTCCCAGGAATCCTGGGCGCTTCGCCGAAGCTCGGCCTATCAAAGCCTATCAGAGCCTATCATGATATCTTGGGACACACCACACGAGTCCATCACCTACATTGAGCAGCATTCGCATGGAAGACTCTAGATTGCTGGGATGATCTATGATCAGATATCCGCCTGTAGAAAAACAACGTCCGACACCTAGCAAAGACTCAGACTTCTGCACCACAATGTTCACAGCCAAGAAGCTCGATGATCCATATGCCAAGGGGAACAAGGACTGAAGTTTCCCAATCTCCGCCAGACCTTTCCAGCCCATCGCCTGTCGGAGCACCGGTGCCGTATAGCTCAAGCTTTGCCGAGTGAAGTAGCATACCGAGTACCCGAAGAAGCAGGCCCAGAAAGTCAGCCACTTCCTGGAGAAATGTCATGTGTCATATCATAGATCATATAATGACATGAACAAAGCCTTGAATAAGATTGAATAAGTATCTAGTATCTATCAGCTTGTATTTCAAGAATAAAGCAACCATCCTATGAATGCAGGATCTGCCCAACATCAGTCACTTCAAGTACAATCGTATGGTGATCTCAACTGACATTTCCCATGAACAATCTGCAGGATCTGTTCTCATCTGTTTTGATGCAACAAAGCATGCCATTGCCCCAAAATGGTGTCTTGGAGTCTTAGGATGTCCTAGATCTTCTAGTTTCACCCCTTTCAGCACCTCTCCTCATGGACTTCTCCTCTGCCACCGTCAGCTCTGCCTCCGCGCGGAGCACTGGCCGCCCGGGTCGTGGCCTTGGCACTATACTACGGCCGAAGCCAGGCACATGGGGCCCAAGCTGGTGGCCACAGCGCGGCGCCAGCACGGCCGGAGGACGCACCCAAGGCCACGCCACTGACATGGCCGGATGAAACGAGGTGCGAGAAGAAACAGGGGCGGCGAAACAGCTGCGGGTCCACAGCAGCTTAGGAGCCAAGATGTGGTTGAGAATCTGAAGGTGAAGCATGGTGAAGCAAAATACCATCGAAAAGCTCACTCCAATCTTGTCTCCTCATGCGCTTGGGCGAAAGGTGTTTCGGCCAAACACCGTAACGCTTGCATTGCTCGGACACGTCCGCGCCTGTGCTTTTCCGCTCCAGGGGTCAGGCAGCCACCTTGACATCGACATCACAGATGACCTGGTGAGAGCAACAGGGGGAGGTGGATTCACATGGAACCGGGACAGCGAGATCTTGAGCAAATGAATTGCCCCACGTTTGACATGTGGGCACTGACACGACGCCCAGGTGTCCTGAAACTGCATGGTGACATTCTGGAAAACCATGTTCGGCACTGCGCCCGTCCACAAAAATCAGTGAACAACTCTCCAGCTGGGGCTGGTTGGCTAGTCATCCTCGTCGCAAGATGGTCTTTATGTGTTTTTTAAATATGCACAGAAATGGTAATTGATTCCTCCAGTTAATTAGTGAACATCCCATTAAATCACCATGGTCACCAACCCACCTACCCCTCACAGTGCTCTGCTCGCCAGAATCCTTTTCTTCTCAAGTCATCAGCTTTTCGAAGCGTTCGTAGGCCTTGCCGCATAGCAAAACAATGACATGCGGGCTCAAACTCCAAATGCTTCTATGCCACTACGGTGCTACTACTCTGCGTCCGTTGTTTGTAGCACTGCACCAGGCTGCACATCTTGTCTTTATCCAAGTTTGAGATGCAATTCCACTAGGTGCGAGGACAACAAGCTTGAAAAGCAGCTAAAGGCAACCACAACCACAACCACAACGACAGCGACTACGATACACAAATGATGCCCAACTCAAAAACAGGGCACAAGTGAGCAACAGCGAGTATATCAATGATTGATAGCCACAGGGAGCCCTCAACCTTCTTCATGGAATCTCTTCAGGGAGCCGTGGAGAAGGTTGACAAAATACATTCGATATGCCGCGATACGCGGCAGCACTGGCAGAAGCAGTAGTCAGCAAACAGGCAACGGATGGCAAAGGTGGGAGCATGGCAAAAATAATCCCAACCTAGCATGGCCCGTTCAGGTGTTTGCATCAAGAGGATTCAGAATTACCACACAAAACATGTTACCAACCTACTGTTCTTCGCGTTAAAACTTCCCACAGCCTGTGCTTGCTTTGCTTCCACCTTGGCCCTTTGTGCCACCAGCTTTTCGACTTCTTCCGGCTCATCCTCAGCCGTTGAACTGCCTCTACCATCTGAAATCTGACATGTGCGAACGCTGGAAGTGTTTTGCCCCCTTCCCAAACTTCATGTCCTGCCTCCTCAATCCCCAAGCCATCAACTAGCAAGTGCTAAAAGGACTCCCTGAGATTAAAACCTTAAAAGGGGGATTCATCGACAGCTCCGGCACATCGCAGCCTCCAATCACCAGCTAGTCAAGCTCACGAAAAGCTTGACTAGTGCACCTTGACCCGATTTGCACCGGTTTCATCTGGTTGTGGGTGAGCATCCGAATTGTTCAGGTGTAGTGGCTAAGTGTAGTGAACTTGGTGCTGCTTGGGCCGCTCCACCACGCTGCTACCATCGGCCGTGCTTGCATCAAGCGTCCCACTGATCGGCCAGCTGTTGGTCGATCACAGCCAGTTTCCTGAGCACGCATGGAGAATCAACAAATGCATACAAAGCAAACAAAATCTGACATTCAGTGGTATGTGATATTTGAGTATCCAAACGAAGTTATAGTTATTTGAAGACCTCCCTCAACAAAATTGCGGTCAACGGACGTCATAAACTGTCGTTTCTATCCACGAGTTGTAGGAGATCAGGAGTCTGCTCACTTTTGAGACATACCCATCTCCGTTTAGGTGAGATGCTGCCTCTAGAATTTCGGCGTACCTTCACTTGGGCCACTTCATTCGATTGTAACAAACAACCTAGAAATCTCAATATCATCAATTTAACTTCAACAGCGTTCTCGAATCTTGAATCCGTGTTCCATGGAAATGACATGAGCACATGCTCCTCATTTCAATCGAAGGATCTCGTCCATCTGCGTGATTTGCCCCTCCAGTCGCACCAGCTCTTTCCGCTGCTTGTTCTGCCAGCGTGGAGTTTTTCGACAGGTGAACAGGTGCAACATCATGAACCTTCTGTGCTGCGTAGCAATCTCCAGTCCCGTTTGTGTAACCTTGAACTGTAAGCAAGTGAGAGATGGCTCATGATAACAGGAAGCGATGCACCATGCGCGTGTAGCAAGGGAAGTCTGTCTGTGGGAATTGTACTATATATATATATATTAATATGAGCAAACATATGTGTGTATTTAATATGTTTTTTTTATCCTTTACATTGCCTGACAAGTTCCCTGACTGCACCCACATGGTGCATCCCTTCCTTACAGGATACCAAACTGGTTGGAGTCACCTAGCTTCCTCATCCGTGAATCGGCCAGTTTGCCGGCGGAGCCTAGATTCTATGATGTTGCCTTTGGATTGTGGAGACTAGACAAACACCAAACACACAATGGAACAAATAAACATGGACACAAGAAATGCATGAGAAACAACAACAGTGTAGACTCATGATGACTCATGGCAAGTGAGGAAGCAAAAGCAGGTTCTCCTTCGAAGCTTCGTCTGCTTTGTCTGCTGCAAGCTTGGTTTCCTTCTCTTCTGCTGGATTCTTTGAAGCTTTTTGTTTTTTATGCTGCGTGACCAGCAAGTCGTGGAAGGACCCAGTCCACAACATGGGCTGAGAGCCATCCTCCTGCTTCAGGGACGACATGCAAACTTGTCTCTCAAAAGGTTCTCATTGTTGATCCAACCCGCAAGTCTCCATATATGCACGAACACCTACACACGCACATAACGACACACATACAGTATATATATATATAGAGAGATAGTTGCTTCGTCTGAATACTTACTATATAACTATAGTGTCGTATCGTGTACAATACCCACATGTTCACAGGTCTCTTCAATGGACCTTATTGCCAAGGAATTGAAACTCAATGCACCCTCCAATCTTTGCACACAACACGCGTGCTGCTGCTAATTGGTGTTTCTTCACCATGGTTTCACCATGCTCTTGAGCCTTTGAAAAAGGTGTCACTGTCAAAATCCTGCCACTTGCGTCCTGCATCACCAGAAAAGATCCGCACACGCCATCCAAAAGCGACCTGTCGTGGCTCACCAGCACCACTGTGCCGGGATAGCGTTGAAGCATACTCTCCAGCGAGTCCACGGTCACCTTGGACAGGGAGTCTCTGAGTCCGAATCGCCAGTCTCCCGAGGGCTCAGTGCGAATCGCCGGGGAGGGCGAAGAATCGCCGGGGAGGGCTCGTTTCCCCGTCTCCTCGATGCGGAGATGGGCGCATCGTCTACGGAGGCCGATGCGGAGGAAGTAGATCAACCGCTCAAAACGCTCTACACCCATGCATCATGCAGCCATGCATGCTACACACAATCCGGAAACGCTCGGTACGTGGTGCGAGAGTTTCTACATGGTTGATTTTGCATTGGCTTGCGCAGCCCCCCCAGAACTAACAAGGACATGGACCACACACAAACACAAATACACAGAAACACACACCGAGTGAAGTGAATGACACTTGAGAGAGGAGGGGGGTGAACGAAAGGTAGCAGGCAAGGCGGAGGGGCCAGGACCACTTGGTTGCGTCAGGGTTGCGTTAAAACTTCGAGTCCGAGTTCGAGTCCGAATTCCAGTTCGAGGCCATCCAGGGTTGAGTTCTAACAGTTCCAGCTCGAGTTCGAGCCTTCTATGCTTCCAAGGTTGAGCTCTTACTGTTCCAGTGCGAGTTCGAGTGGGGCACACTACGCAAAGAAACATGCCTGAAGAATTGTCCAAACATCTCAAGACTTGCACACTTGCACCCAATCCGCGGCGGCGCAGGGGGGATTTAATCCAGGGGGAGGGCCCCCCCTATAAAACAGTCTTACAGGACCAAACTCTAGGCCCTAGGCAAATGGCCAAGTCCTGGTTACAATATTACATTTTCCTAAAGCAAAAGGAGGACTCAGGTAGCCTGAGGCTACCTTTCGTGACTTGCCTGTAGGGCCCATCTCAATGCTAGTCTTGCATACAAAGAACATTTCCTTGCTTCCCCTGCGAAGGAGCAGAGTGGGGCACAAACCAGCACGACCGGTGGGACGCCATGCCATCAACTGAATGGAGCAGCACTGAGAGTCAAAACGAACGGAACTTCAACTCATCCGGTAAGTGGATGATGCGCACCCCCGGAAAAGCAAAGGGAAGTGACAAATGTTACGTCTCTGAATAAAGGTCTTCCTGAACAACCAGGTTAGTTCTGTTCACTTCATTCTTGGAGGGACGGGCCAACCACCCCAACTGGAACAAGAAGCTATTAGAAACAAGTGCCTCGCTAGTAGTAACAAGTGCCTTACTAGTAGTAACAAGAAGATATTGGGAATCTTATCGCAAATGTCCAGTCGCTGCGTCCAAGTCATTCGTGGGCTCGTCCAGCAGCAAAACGTTGGGACGCTCCACCAGCACCCGTAAGAGCTGCAGGCGGCGGTTCCTGCCGAAAGAACGTCCGAAAACTCAAACAAAAGGCCATGAGGGAGTTGGAGGAATCAGTGCAAAATGGTAGAATGGATTAGAATGATATCGTATTGAAGCAAATTCGATAATTGCACGCATCTTTAATCGGTCTTATGATGTCCTATGTCGCTTTGTAAGCATTTGAAAGGAGAACGTCCATGAACTTGGTATTAAAATCAATTAGTGTGGGGTTTCAAAGCCGACCAAAAGAGAAAAGCAAAGAGCTCTAGCTACAACCCCTTCTATGACCAATGGATCACCGCTCGCAATCTCCCTGGATTCATACATAGGCAATTCACAAGCCCTGCAGTGATCGCGGCACTTTCAGGAGTTTTTGGCTTCTTCATGCCATTGGTTTAGATTCTCCTGACGAGTCTGAGTCTGTCCACAGGTTTCGACGGGAGAGGCCAAAAACGTCCGCAGAGTCGCTGCACGTTTCGTCACCCTTGGGAAATTAACACCCAACCGCAGGTCTTCCATTTAAAGGGCCAAACTGCCCTGTGATGCAGGAGTGCGGCTTTGCATTTTTAGATCTCCAAGCTTCACTTCAAACGCCTCAGCCAGCCCCTCCCAAACGACCTGCCCCCCCGAACTCGCCAAGATGCTCGCCGCCCGACAGCATCCCCACGGGTGTGGACCAGCGGCTTTCTGCGAAGTTGACCGCCTTCAACCTCAGCTGGATGGCTGTGGTAGTGGTGAAGGGCCAGCACATGAGTTGAGAGATACAAAAAAAGGGTTTCAGATTTCAGACTGTACCCTTCCGAATGCATGCTCCAGCTGAACCACCAAGATTCTTAAAACAATTGAAAAATACACACACAAACAGAATCATGGGCCAGTGTGCTTCTTCAGAACCTCTAATTTCATCTAATTTCCCATCGTTTCCCGTGTCGGTCGTGTGTCACGGCGCTTCCATCCCCATGAGCCTTCACAGGAGCCTCTTTTACTTAAAGCATCTAAAGCATTCTAAAGCCAAACTGTCGCCCCGCAGATCCAACATTTCAATGGGTCTGAGTTGGTTCTTGGCGCGTGCAAAACGCTGAGCTTCTGGGAGGTCAATCCCAGCACCAGCACTCTCCCATTCTTTGTTATCTTTTACGTTGGCATATGTTGACATTCAAACATTTGTAGACTCTTTGGAGTTTAAGCTGCAGGATCAGTGTCATTGTTAGTTTCTTGCTGATCAACAACCCTTGCCGGCCCAATCCTTGCCTGATGAACCTATCGAGGACTACCGCCTCTACATGACATGAACAAAAGCAAGAGAGGTCGTCTTTCTTGGAAACATCAAAGCCTGAATCCTCGCTGTCTTCCGTAGGCCCCTTGCCCCACAAGCCAAAGGGGCATAGCAGCTCGCCGCCGTTGAAGACTCATGCTCTCAGCCCCACGGCCCAGCACTCCATCGTCGGCTTGGGTCATGGCCACAGTGGCCATATCCGAGACGACTTCAATGACGCGGCGATTTGGGTCAGGCCATTCCTTACAAAGGATTGGATGCTGGCATCTTGGGGTCTCCGATCTAGCCGCAGCTTCCAACCTCACGCTCTTTATATATTGGACATACATGACATATACGTATATATACATACATAAACTCTATTTTCAAGATCTCCATACATCTCCCCTTAGAAGGGAGCTACAGCAAGAAGGTGCTTCACAAGTTCAAACCCCCAAGCTATGCAAACTGATTCTTTCATATTCTTTCTGCCCAGGCATCCGGCGGGGTCTGCGACAAACAGCCGATGAGAACACCTTGGCCGATGAAGACTTCGCCACTGTTGGGTTCAATGTCTCCCACCAAAGTCCTCGGAACGCTGAGCCAATCATCGGACCAAAAGAATGCAGGATTAGGACTACTAGTAACGGGTGCTTTCTACTAGTAACACGGGCATGACCACTAGTAGCAAGAAACTACTACTAACAAGTGTATCGCTACTAGCAACAAGGACAAAGAGAAGAAAAAGGAAGTCAAGGGCCCCCCTTGACAAATCTCCTGTTCTGTGCGTCTTGAGGGTAGCAAGTAGCATATTTTGGAGTTCACGCGGTAACAAACAAACTGTTCGACGACAACGATTGCCCCCGCAAGCCACATGGAAGGCATTGAGTGGTAGCTCAATGAGTCGTGTTGGTAGCTCGCTCACATCTCTTAAGGCCTTGAACTGAGCATCTTCAGCAAAGTGCTTTTGCCAGCGCCATTGGGTCCAACCACACCCACCTTCTCCCCTTTCTCGAAGCACACGGAAATATTGTTCAGAACCCGTCCTTTCGGGGATCAAGAAACTGGGCAACAAACATAAAACATATGCCCCAGCTCAAGAACTACCACGTGAATAAACAAACTTATAAATACCTCAAATCACAAAGGGCCTCTTCCATTGTCCAGTCACATCATCCTTTGCTTCAATGTTGCGACTTTGATTGGAGAAGGTGCGCTCTAGCAGTACATTGCGACAAGTTCTTGGGCATTAGCATGGTTTGAATGCTCCAAGGGAATCGCCCAACGCATAATCGCCAGTGTGTGTGTGTGACGTTTGAAATCACAGGGATCCTTTTGGAATGTACTGTTTGATTTTGAATTCCGTGGACAGCAGGGGGCAGGAGCACCATTGCAAGCCTCCTGCCAACGAAGACACTTGCAACTGGTGGTGATACCAGATCTGATCAGTCTGGCGTACCTGCAGTTTTACAAGAACAAATTCCTCATGGACCCTGCTTCAACTAGAACACATCCAGCCTTTGCATCGGTTCATCTTCGGCAGATGTGCATTGTCGCTTTAGATTTATCGATTTGGAGTTGGAGGCCATGCAGGCTTTGAGTGGTTTGGGACACCGTACTTTACCTGTCCTGGTTTTCTTAGGTTTTTCACTTAGGCTGGCGTGTGGCACCGCATTCACATCAGTAGGCA